TATTTAATTAAAGTAGACAGAATATATTTAAGGATATCCCTATTGCATGGGTGAACTAAACAACAAAAAAAACAAAAACAAAAACAAAAAAAAAAAACCAAAAACAAAAACAAACAACAACAAAAAAAAAAATGGTGAACTAATAAAAGAGACTTTGCCTCAGAATATAAAGAAATATCACTAACAATTGACAGGATTTTACTTCCAGTGAGAGTAGAGGGAAAAAACTTTACTGGGCAGTTCAAACCATTTACATGTACATCTAATGAAAATTGAGGAAATTGTGCTATTGATAAAAAATTGTAGATTCAGCATTGTTGCAACTTTGTTATATGTATTTGCTTACCTTTTTTTATGGTACAGTTTTTTGACCAGCACAGAAGTTGTTACTTTTAAAGATTTCTATTTCACATACTCCTAATACCCTCAAGAATCATCTTTCTATTGGTAAAATTCAGGTTTGTGATGATTATATGAGAGTCCTGTCAAACTTATTTTGGTTTTCCAATAAATTTCACACCAGCCAAGATGTTATTCATGTTAGAGCTGATACAGTAAGGGAAAAGAGGATTACAAAATGATGCATGCATATGCATGTACATGTATGCATGTATACATATACGTATTTATTGATATGTGTGCGTATATATATATGTATATATGTGCATATCTATATATCTATCTGTATGTATACACACATTTTTTTAATAGTAATTTCTTGTGAAAAAAAAAAATACTTAGGAGATACATCAGCATACTCCATTTTGTCTTCATCTATTTCAAGGTCTAAAACTTTTCAGAATTGTAGAGTACTTCTTCACATAATGGTTCTTGTGTCTATTCTGTCCCTAAATTACATGAAAATTATAGATTAGCAAAGTAAATATGATCTTTATTATTGTCTATAAATGGCCATAAATTTTAGACTGACCTAACAGTGCAGGGTTTCAGGACATGTCTTGTTTTGTCTTGGCATAGTTTCACCTTGTTTTAGCAATTTCTGGGTGGCCAAATGACTATGCTTCACCTTTGTGTGAGCTGAAGCTTTGTGACCACCATGAATGGTAAGAGTCTGGCAAACCTGGGAAGTTTCTGCTTTGCAAGCAACAGACTGTGATATCAGTTGGGGCTGATGAAGGCAACTTTCAGACTCTAGCAGGGAAGCAGCAAGAAGGAGGCAAACTGCAGTAAGAAAACATAAATACAGCTCCAAGTGAAACCCAAGACAGAAAACGAAGAAACTCCCACCCATAGCAAACATTGTACGCCTCCTGATGAAGAATTCAACTCTCCATAACTGACAAACAGACTGACAACTCATAACCACCAGCACAACTTCTTCTTGAAAAAGACTGCAACTGTAAACCTGTAAACAAGAGGAACATTGACAGCATGAGCATAATGCCAGAGAAAAGGGAGGATTCTAGGAAGAGGGGTTGCATATAACAATTTTAGCTGCATTATTAATATGACTTTGCTCTTTCAGTTAGAGAACTTGGACTATTAAACTGTTAAAAGAGTAGTTCAGTTTAAATTCTTTAGTTTTATATATGCACTGTATCTCCCTTGTCCATAACTGCTTATATATATATATATATTTATATATATACACATATACATATCATAAATCATACCTTGAAATCCAGCCTTAGAACCAAACTGAGATATGGCTGTGGAACATAGCTGTATTTGTTTATATGATGTTGAATTTCATCCCTCATAAATATATTTCTAAATGGTGATGCTCATAACTAACATATTTCTGTTAGGCTGGTCTATTACTCAGTTTTCTTGTTCCTAACATACGTAGAGAACACCCACATCTACATTTAAAATACACTTGATAAATACAATATCATGAGGAGTGAGGAAGTGATTCGATAGCACTTGCCCTTTTACTCATGCTCAGAATGGGAAATAGGGTGGGATGACTGAGTGGGTTAGACTGCTTATCCATCTGTCTTTATTTTGCAGGACTTATGTTATACTATAGCAATTTTATTTCTCTGCCATATTTACTCTGGCTAGATGTTATTTTGTCCTTTTATGAGTCTGATACTTCAAAGTCCTAGGCATTCATCTTATTCTTCAAGATTAAGGTCTGTTTTCAGAATTCATCATTGCCATGGAGCTGTTCATACATCTGTTTAAATAGTATGACTGAGATCAAGGAAAGTTAATGTCTCACATGATTAATCAGTCAGATATCATGCCAGCTATAAATACGGACACTTGCAAGGACATAACACACCTCAGCTGTCCATAGGGATAAAAAAAGGTTCTCTGTCCTCTCAGCTGAGGTCCCATCCTCAGAAGAGCGTCCTGTTGTAAGGATGAACTTTCAACCCATGTTATGAAGTTGGTTTGTGTACCAAAAATCTAATAACTTCAAGGAAAGAAGACATCTTCTTCATGCATCCTCTTTAAGTCATGAACAGAGAACTGAGGAAGCTCTAGTTTCTTCTCTGAAAATCCATTAAAATATACACACAGTTATCGAATAACAGTGTTCAGCTTGAGTGAGTGCTTAAAATCTTTACCTAGCAGATTAATTATGTTAGCTTATATGTTCTATGTCTTAAATGCATTAAACTTTAAATAAAAACTCCTGTTGCATTTTTTGAAAATTGTTGAATATTGGCTTCTAGGAGTTGGAGAGTGTCTACATGTGTTAACTTGATCTAACATAAGAATTTCCCTGTAACCATCAATCAGTTGCCACAGAAGCACAAAGGAACTCAGTCTTAGCTACATCCTTCCCAGATTTTCCTATTACCTATTTTAAAACATGTTGCTTACCAAGGAAATTATAGTGAATTCCACTTTGTGGTACTTAATTCCATCAAGGCATTGGTTAAGAAACATCAGGTATTTAACTCAAAATTTTAAATCAAAGCTAAATTGAAAATTTAGCTGTAGTTTTTGTTCAATACCACTTGAAATTAGCTATCTTGCTCAAGATTCAGGAAGGTCAATGAATTCTCAGTCCTACCCCTGTGAAGGGATGCTGGAAATTGCAAAAATAAGTATATTCTCAGAAATGTAGAATGCAGTATTTCTCCGAATTCCACTGTCTTTGGGAGGAGAAAACAGATCCTTTTGAATTGAAAGAATATTTAAAGGGAAGAAAACAACAACAAAAACCCTCCAGTACATGGAAACTCTACTTCTCTGTTAGTTCTAGAGATTTTACATAAGAGTAGCCTAAACTCTAGTGTTTAGCAAGTCACCTGTTTTTTAATTCCTGGAATGACTTAAACTTGCCCAATGTGGTATCTGCTAGTCCAGTTAATAAATAAATAAATAAATAATAATAATAAAATTAAGAGTTTACAAACTGAGGAAAATGGAAAAGCACTGGTAGAAGACTTGTACTTTATGACATAACACCTAAATCTGTTACAGTTCCAGATAGTCTCATGGGTCTTAGCAACTTGTAACTTGAAGAAATTTTCCTGCTAACTTGAATTAACTTGAAGATTTTGTGTGTGTGTGTGTGTGTGTGTGTGTGTGTGTGTGTGTATGTGTGTAGAGGAAACATTGTGAGGGACAGGTCTAGTGGCAGCCATTAACATTTTCCACCAGGGGAAATACTGTTATTCACAAGGGAAAACTGTCTGCATAAAAGAATCAGTTGCAATTTTAATATGTCACTTAGATAAAACTTTCGTAGATTTTAAATTAAACCTTGTCTTCCCTGAATCCATTGCATGCTTCAGTTGATTTCTTTGGGGACAAGTTTTCCTTTTTTGTTCACCTAAGTTTATGCCACCAGTCTATGTTAAGCAAATAACGAGACAGTTTTTACTTATAGATTATTACTGATCTCTTTGTATTGAATATTACTTTAAACATTTGCAAACCTGAATTTGCTTTTTGAGCATTTTATTTTCTTGTTCTACCACTGATTCCCTGAATGAAAGAACTAAGACAGACTGGTATTATGAGCATAGTACATAAACCCAGCTAGTAGGAAGACTAACTGTTTCAACCTGATATTGACATCATCACAAAATGAGCTTATTTTCCTTAGTTAAATGAATCATTGTTACATTCTCAAAATGTCTGTTCAATAGCCATCCTTATGAATCAATATTGCTCATAAGAACAAATACGAAAAGAGAGCATAATCATTTCTGAATGTAGCCAAACATAAATACAAAATGAAAGCCAACAGAATGGTACAGGAGTTTTTCTTCTTCAATCACTGAAAGGGAATGGGAAGGCAAACTCACTGAGGAAGATTATTCAGTGACCGTGCTCTGTGCCTTTAATAGCAATGTCTCCTGCTTTCATAAGCATCAAATTCACTATGCTCAAGTATACAAAATGACTTATAAAGATGCACTCTAGCAACTTTATTTCTTGAAAACACAAATGTGAAACCTGAGGCAAATCTTTGAAATATTGTTGTACTGAACCATTTCTAGTTAGTTACTATCCTGTGTTCATTTTCAAACTGTTTCTTAAAACACACATGCGGGTACTTGGTTAGGACTTGAAATTAAATGCAGCTTCTGTAGGACTTTTCTAAGACAATTGCTCATCTATCAAGAAAATGTCAATTATTCTAAAGTACAAATATGGTAACATATAAATATGAAGATTGTTAACTCCTAGAAGCAGAAGTTTTAGAAGGAGAACATAAATCAAGGGTTTTTGTTTGTTTGTTTGTGTTGAGTGTTTTTTTTCCCTCCTAATTTGAAAATATGTAGAAATTCTGCTCAGATATCTGAGATGGTATAAAATAAAGCACCTGTACAGACTTTCGTGTTTCTTCTCCGGAGATCTGACTTTAAGGAGCACTGGAAAGAATTTGTGTGTATATGTATTGTGTATATATATGTGTGTGTGAATATTGCGTCAATGTCATTACTGCAGAATTAGAGACTGGAGATTGCTTTGCTGATTTGATTTTATTTATTTTATTTTATTTTATTTTTTATTTTTTATTGCATTTTTCATTTCATTTTCAAAGAAGTAAAATTATTCATGCAAAAATCCAGGTGATCCTCAGGTCTCCATAATTAATACTGCTTACAGAATGTTGCAAAGAGAACGGAAGGAAATAGAACACAGAACAAGATGGAAATATGTTCCCAACAAGGATATCAGCAGAAATCAACATAGAATTGTAGTAAGACCCCTAAGATCACAAATAACCCTCCTCTGAATAGCCTCCAGTTAATGGAACTCATGAAACAAATATTGCATTGTCTTTGCACCAATCTACCGATTTCTACCCTTCCTCTTCTTAACTCTGACTTTTATTAGAAGATTATTAGAAGACCAGAGTTAAGAGCTGAAAGATTTGAAAGTTGTTTTCTGATCTGAAACTGACTGAATATGAAGCTTTTTTCTACATCTGTATGTAACCCAGAGAAATGTACCTAACTTCATAAACTGCTGTAGTTTGAAGTGTATTGTAATTGTGGTGACAACTATTACAATAATGATATAGTATTTTCTGACTGCTCTTTGTAACCACTGTCTAAGAGACAAACAAAGTCATGTTTCCCAGAAAAAGGCTAGATAATCAAAGTATCTTACAACGTACTTTTCATTTTGACTGGTGAGAAGAATACACATTAATTTCTAAAAATAGGTTATAATAACAGATTAAAAATTTTTACTCTAATTAATTTTTAATTTTTACTCTTATTAGCATTAATGAAAGGAGAACCAGTCGAGCTAGCTCATGTAGAGTTAAGAAATTTTTTTTGCAACATCCAAGTAACATCTTGATAGCCACATCGCTGTCATAACACGTATGCCCTGCTCCTTATCCTGGATAAAAGTGTATGATTGACAAGAAAAGCCCTTCACCGGTCTTCCTGCTAAACTCAAGCTTCAGGGGAAGTGGCAGAGCTCCCCAAATGTTTCTGAGGGCTGAAGAGGACTGAGAGGTTATTCTTAGTGCTCTCCTTTTACCAGCTTCATCCCGACAGTGAAGGTAGACCCATGAGGGGTCGGAGGCCGGCGGGCCGGGAGCTTCCCCTCGGGCTCGCTAGATGGTGCTAGGCGCAGGCGGGAAGCACTGGGTCCTGCAGGAAGAGCCCGAGCAGCTCTGCTTCTTCAGCATCTCAGCGTCTGGCTTCTTCAGCATCTCAGCGTCTGGCTTTAAAATGGTGGGCAAAAGAGCCCACCATTAAATAAATAAATAAATAAATAAATACCATAATAAATATATAATAATAAATAATTAAATATTATAATAATAAAAATAAATAAATATATAAATAATAAATAATAACCATTAAATAAATAAATAAATAAATAAATAAATAAATAAATCGTTTCTACCTGTTCTACCTGAAAGAGGCGCAGCGTGGCTTCTTCAGATCACCCCAGTCATCTGAAAGCAGATTTTGCGCAAGATAATAAATAGGTTGCTGTTGATGCATCACCAACCAACATAGCGCCCTTACAACAGTACTGCCATCCCTGTGTCAGCTTTTCCTCAGTCTCCTGCTTCCTCCTTCTACCCCACTGGTGCTTGTAGCTGATCCGTCTGCAAACATTTTTTTGCAGAACTGCAGACTGTACCCCAGGTCAGGGAAGGTGAAAATTTTCACAGCAATGTCACAGACTGAACTGTTTTTTTGTTTGTTAGTTTAAACTTACTTTATTGCCAATTAAAACAAACTTCTGATTGTTGATTTATGTATTGTAAGGGAAAAAAAAAAAAAACAAAAAAACAAGCAAACAAACAAACAAACAAACAAAAAACAACAACATAATAACACTTTAATAATAAACACTTTCCCAAGCCAGGTCAAACAAGACAAACACTTTTCCTTCCCCCTTCCATTTCCAGACACAGCTTCATTTATTTTTGGTGCAGTTCACCATCAGTCTATTCCTTTTCCTACAGTTATGGGATTAGCACCACAGGAGGCTGGAGTTGTACGTTCCATGGTTTCTTTCTGTTGCTCTTACTTTCTCACTGATTTGGAGACTGCATGGTTCCTTATTGCCCCTGCCCTGCCCCAGCATGGCCACCCATAGGCCAAAGTCCCTCAGAGAGGTCCTGGCCCTAGCCCCAGCTCTGGCCCTGGCCACTTCCCTTCCTCTCCCACAGCAGGGGCTCCACACACTCCGCCTACCCTCCCATCTTTACCACTGGTTTCACACTGGTTTCAGAGCTGGCTGGGACCAGCTGTGACAGGCCCCAGGCAGGTGATGGCCTTCCTCTCCTCAGGGCATGCCTCAGCCCCTTCACCATTACGCTGCAGCTTCTGTCCAATGCAACCAGCAGCACCAGTGCCCCACTGCCAAGGCTCCAGCAGTGCCAGGGCCTTATTGCCCCCTCCAGCTCCCTGAACGCTTTCGGCAGCCAGAAGGAGGAGGTAGCGACTCAGTCAGCGGGCTGGAGACCATTTTTTTTTTTTCTTCTGAGCTCTGGTAATTATCAGGCTACTCAGTTTCCTTTAGTGTTTATCTAGTAAGGTAAAAAGCATATTTTGACATAATTTTTGGACATGTTTCTACAGTTTATGAAAAGTTTAAGTTTAAGTAATGCCTTAAAGAGGTGCCGTACTGTCACCCCTGGAACTGCTCACTAAACCTGAAGGGCCTGTGTAAAACAGTGCAAATGCTCTGGTTTACTTTCTTAATTATACAATATGAGATGTATTTTTAAAAAGAGGTGTGTTTCTGTTTCTTAACAGGCTAAAAGAATAATACAATTACTTGCTGCAGGAAAACGCATAACTGCTGAAATGTTAATGTTCTGTATTTCTTCAAGTCTTTAACTCCCTGGCATTCAGGCACTTCACAAGTTGCAGTCTGTAGCTGAGGCTGCTCCACACAAACACGCCGTTTAGAACAAGCTTATGTTTGGAATGCCAGCTTATGGAGACAGGTGATACATGCAGATCTTGGGCTTAGGTAGAAGGAACTGGATCCCTAGTTTGCATTTTCCAGATTGCAGTTTCCCTGTAAAACTTTGGGATTTCATTTCTGCACAATTGCATTTTGTTATTTCCATTCTTAAAGTGTACATACTTCCTTTTGAATAATTTAAGGTTTATTTTACACACAGTGCGCAGGCCTACCAGCTTTATATGACTGCATCTCCCTGGGTTTTTTAAACCACAGTGCTGCTCTGGGTGATACTTTTCTTTTGCTGAATGATTACCAAGCTTTTCACAAATACTCCTTTACTCTCCATTACGGATGGGCCTGTAGTAAGGCAATAAAGACTTGGGTATATATAGATCTGTCTCCTCAAAGACAAACTGATACTGTTTCTATAGTTATCTCCCTCACCTAAGAACAAATAAACTAATGAAACTAAAGGGCTCCAAGGTTTGGCCCCTTCCATTGTAAAGAATCTTTCATTTCCAATTCTAAACAGAATTTTCTTTGTTTCACCTTGCATCCCCTATCCCTTGTTATTTTGTGGTTTACTTCTGAAGATAGTTTGATAATTTTCCACCAGGTAGCAGAAAACAGGAATAAGATCTCACCCCAGCCATCTCTACCAAACTGTGAACCAACCATCTCGTTCACTTGCCATTTTAGTCCATTTATGGCTAAAATAATTAATTTTCTCTCAGAGCTGTCAGCTATGAAATCTCACATAAGACCATGTGTTTCCATTGATCCAAAGCAACTAGGAGACAGACAGTAAGAATGTTCCCTCGTTTTCCTCACCCATGTTCCTTAACACCACATGTTCCTTGTTACTTATTGCTGTTTATGACAAGATGTTGCTGGTGGCTTGCAGAGGTTTCCTGTCAGAGTTCAGTTTGAAATATGTACCATAGTCTGATTGTCCTTGGCAGTGATAGGACATGGCTATCCTTACATATAATAGACGTCAATCCAACCTTAGAAAGTATTCTCTGACTGATAGTAAATTTGAGAGCCTTTCCCTCTGAGATGTTCATAATGCTAATAACCCTTTCTAAGTATGACAGTTTAATCATGCAGATCCACACAAGGAGGGAGATTGTCGCAATTCCAGAGAGATAACCAAGTATTCTGTTCCTATCACTGATCATATTTAGAAGAGAACTGAATGCTATTTGTTGTGTTGAAATACTAAAGCTTCAGGTAAAATCAAAGTTGTCTGCTCTAAGTCTGGGATTGTTTCTCAATATTCACTTAAATTATACATGCCTCTGTTTTAATATATCAATCAATGTCATCATGCTCAGCAATAAAAGTTGGGGTAAAGAAGAAGGAAGGGGGGTCCTTATCACAGTCCATGAGTTCTCACACTTTAACCTTTCTAGTTCTCTCCCTCATCCCAACTGGGGAGAATGAGCAAGTGCCTGCATGGTACTTGGCTGCCTGCTGGATTAAAGCACAACAGTTTGTTTTCCTTTTTTTCCTTTTCCTTTTCCTTTTCCTTTTCCTTTTCCTTTTCCTTTTCCTTTTCCTTTTCCTTTTCCTTTTCCTTCTTTTTCTTTTCCTTTTCCTTTTCCTTTTCCTTTTCCTTCTTTTTCTTTTCCTTTTCCTTTTCCTTTTCCCTTTTCCAATCTTCTTCTAAGAGTCCAAAAAACAAATTTATTCTTCATCTGGAAGAAATAAGATCTAATTTATGGCTGCAAGGCTACAGAACCAGACTTTTACAGTGTGCAGTAGTATGTCAAGTATAAAAGTAAAGGTTAAAATCTTCTGTTCCGGCAAATGAGCACAGCATAATCATCACTGAGGGAATTATACTAATTTCTACCACCAGATCAGGCTTCACTTGAAAGTTTTATTTCTGCCCTTCAGTTGGAGCAGGTTTCCTAGCAAGCTTAGGGGGTCTCCACCATTGGTAATAATCAGAAGTTAACTACATATATATCCCTTACCAGTCTACTTTAACTTGAAACTTGGTATTTTGGCTAGCAATTTATCAGAGCAATACAATTTGCTATATTGCTTGAATAAAAGAAAAAACAAACAAACAAAAACACAAACAAACAAACAAACAAACAAAAAAGTCTGATACCAAAATGAGATTGTAACCTTTAGCTTGTGGCAGACTATGGGCTATTGGCTAACACAATCCAGAAAAGTAGATCTTTAAGATCTTTAAGTTTCACAGTTTAAAAAGAGAAAATTTTGATGAAGTATGTGAATGATTTATGAAGTTACCCCAACTTAGTAGTTACAGGTTTCAGTATGGAAAAAGCTTTGAATTCAAAGGTAAATTTATATGAAATCTCTATTCTTCATAAGGAGGGAAAGAAAAAACAAACAAACAAACAAACAAAACAACAACAACAACATTGAAAAGCAGCTCCCAAGAGGGATGAATAGGTAATAGGTACACCCAGAGGGATGTTAGGAATAAAAAAAAGTTTGCCTGTGGAATATAGGAATGTTCAATAAACAAAGTTCTGTCCGCACTGTAGGGATAAAATAAAATTTGTCAAAAACCATGTTAGTTTTGATTTTTCAAAGGATATAGTTATACACAGGAAATGGAGTAAAATGCATTCAAAGTCTGGTCTTTAACTAACTAGTTACAGGGATGCTTTACTAAGGGTAGATTCACCAGTTTGAAGTGGTCAATACTGTCTAGTTTGGTACTCGTGAGATCATAACTATAGTATTATGTCCTGCTTTGGGATTCTTACTATAAAAACGATGTCAGTAAACATGAGGAAGTCACACACCCTATGCTCCAGGCCCATGGCAACGGTGATGGTATTCTCCTGGACTTCCTCATGTTTATTGACACAGAGAGCTGGATTTGTTCAGCCTCATGAAGTACTGGGGAGGCATGGGAGGACAAGAGGCAACAGTCAAAAGTTACAGCAGATATACATACCAGAAATATGTGAACAATTTCTCTAACAAGATTTCTGGAATTTCCATCCATGGAGGTACTCAGAATTGAAGTGGACAAAGCAGGGGATAACATCTGACTGAAGTTGGTGGTGCCTTATGTGGGTACTTGAAGATATGACATCCAAAGGTCCACTCTAACCTGAATTATTTTGAAGTTTTGTGGACTTTTGTTAAAAAATTAATCAGTTTTCTGTACTCATTAGATGTGAAAGATTTAATGTCTCTAGGCATGGACTAGATGGAAACATCATCAGAGATTTTTTCTGTGTGATGTCTGAACTATGATTTGGGAATGATTTATACATGTGAAATTCCAGGTCCAAGTTCTAGATGCCAAGAGGAATAAATGATGTTAGATAGAGCTTGTAAGAAGGAAAGAAATGTTTGCACATCTTTCCCAGGCTAGTAGTGACCATATAACAACTGAGTGTATGTGAATGCTTTAGAGATTGTGATTTCAATCCAAACTTATAATCTTTGTATTATCATCAATTTTTTCACTCTGTAGGAAAAAGGAGGATATAATGTGTCAAGATCTTAAGATCTCTGTAGGAGTCTCTGCATTGGCTTTCTTTTGCAGATTTCAAGGCGTCCCATGCATTTCAGTCTTCCTCTTTTCTTCTTTTTGTCTGTTGTGCTGTCAGATCTACTGGCTCAATTTGTGTTATTTCAGGTTATAATAATGATGCAGAATCCAACTTTGGTGTTCTTGCATGTTTCTTTTTATTTTCCCTTGCTTGCATGTAGAGCTGGAACCTTTTTATGTTTACTAGATCAGCCTTTTTAGCCACTGCTATATTGTGAGTATGTCACATTTCAGAATTGCAGGTGCGTATTGGGGTTACACGTTTCTATAATTGTATTCTTTAATGATGTTATGTAAGGAGAATATTATGATGTAGTTTTAAAAGTTAAATTGTATTACTGTGTCTATTATTTCCACTGCTTTCCATTGCTTTTCCATATGCACGCCAGGAGGGGAATGGCTAGCTACTTGCTGTTTTTTGTTTTTTGTTGTTTTTTTTTTTTCTCTTCAACTATTTTATAGGCAGTGTTTCTGTTTTTAACAGCATTAGATGATGATTTTTTACTTTAACTTTCATCCTTCGTGGACCAGAATGATTCCTTCCTCTTTCAGTGCATAATTACTGAAAGAGACACATCATACAGTTTTATGTCATCTGACTACATCTGAGCTAGTTGTCCAGGTGCCCTTTAGAGTCAGTTAAGGAAGATGAGTATGTCTAGAGCATGATTCATATAGCCTGTTTTAGATGGCTACTCTAGGAGATGAGATGAATC